AACAATAAAATATTATCCAAATAGGTACTTTTTAGTGATAAGAATGTGGTTAAATGCTTTGATAAAGTTGCCTGAGTATATGTTAAGGTTATAGGGTTTGACCTCCATGGCTTGATAGGTGGATTCTGAGGTCTAAGCACAATGAACACTAATCCTTGGTCTCTTTGTAACTTACTGAAGCAACTTTTCCAAGACCACGATGACACTGCTGGCTGTCATTGTATCCCCTTCTTTTCAAAAATATCTCTGGCTTTCAATTGTACCTTAAATCAACTCAGTATTACCTTAGCCTCTGCATTTTAATGTGTGAAAGAAAATGCCTTATCTTCTATATCTTCTGCTATGGACTCATCCTCCTTCCTCTATCTAATGTGTTTTAATACTGATGAATTTTTCAAATAAGTTTAATATTTACAAAGAAAACTGCATAAATTGTTAGTGTACGAAATATGTATACTCTTACAATCAACACCAGTGTCAAAAATAGAACAAAACCACCCACAAATCTCTTCTTTGCCCCCTCCAGACCTCAATCTTGAGTAGTTTTACCCATTTCTGAACTTTACATAGAGAAAATACACAATATTTTCTCATTTATTCCTGGCTTCTTTTTTTTTAACAGATGTTTGATGTGGCAGTACTTGGTGGATTTTCACTGTTACATGGAATTTTGTGAATCTTCAATTTATTTATCTATTTTACTACTGATGAACATTTGGATTACTACTAATTTTTGTCTGTTATATAGTATGGATTTTTTTTTTCAATTTTTGTGTGGTACTGGGATTTGAACTCAGGGCTTCATGCTTGCAAAGCATGCGATCTGCCACTTGAGTCACACCTCCAGTCCATAGTGTGCATATTCTTGATGTACATATATGCACACATTTTTATTGGGTATACACTTAGGAGTAATGTTGTTGGGGCATAGACTGTACATATATTTAACTTTATTGGCTATTCCCAGTTCTCCAAAATGGTTGTACTCTGTGTTCTGTAAGGGAGGCAAATTTTCTTCTACTTTTATTTATATGTTTTTATTTTATTTATTTGTTGTTTTATTATTATTTTTTGCCAATTGCAAAACAGGACAAAATTTTATTGAAAATAGAGAAAAAACATAGGCAGGGGTTTTAAATAAAGCATTGCAAGAGAAAATGAGTGAGCTCCAGCCAGATGACTCGGAAACCAAAAGCCCCCTAACTTTTACTTTTACAAGTGTTTTCGGCTCAAGCTGGAGCATTAAATTGACATAACACAGATCAACAGGAGAAAAAATCAGAGAAATTAATGAAATCTTGTGTAGCACAGGAGCTATGTAATGAAGACTCGGTGATGCAGTTAGAGATGAGCACTATCTACTGAGTTAGACAAAGAGTAGTAAGTCATGAAAATGTGGCAAGGCAGGGGGTCTAAGATGGTTAACTAGGTGGAGCAGCATCTAGAGGATATTCATCTAGCAAGGTTTGTTTGCACACGTTGCCCTGGCCTCAGTTTCCCATTCTTGATGAGCATGATGTTTGCCTTCTGAAATAGAATTTTTTCACGTGGGAAACAGAAAGGAAGGAGAGTAATCTTTTTACATCTGCTGTCTTCCATCTGCCTTTGACTCAAAATAGTTAGTATGCCAGAATCTCATATTTGTGACTCCCTAAATTACCACCAGTGGTATATAAGACTTCCAATTTCTCTTTATCCTCACCTACATTTGTTATTGTTAATTTTAGCTATTCTGGTGGTTGATTAATGGTATTTCATTTTGAGTTTTTAAAAACACCTTATTGAAGTATATAGCATAAATATAGAAAAGTGCAGAAATCATGAGTTTCTGTGTCTGTCAGCTGTTCCTTGACAAAATATCTGAGATAAACAATTTAAGGGCGGAAGGATTTGTTTTAGCTCATACTTTCAGAGGCTTTAGTCCATGATTTCTTGGCCCTATCACTGTGGGCCTCTGGCAAGGTAAAGTATCATGATGGGGAGGAAGTGGTGAAACAAAGCTGCTACCTCTGGCCAGAAAGGGGGAGGGGGAGGCAGGGAAGTAAGGAGAGGAAGAAGGAGGAAGAGGAGGAAGCGGGGAAGAAGAGGAGGAACAACGACAACAAAATATGCCCTTCAAAGGCACAGTCCCTGAGCTCATTCTGCTATATGAGTATATAGTGACTTTACATTGATAAAGTTAGCATCCTCATGATCCAATCATTTCCCAATAGAGCAACCAACTGGGGACCAAACCTTCAACACATGAGCCTTCTGGGAGAACACTTCATATCAAAACTGAAATAATAAGATTATTGCCTAATGAAGTTTTACAAAATGAATACGTCTGTGTAACAGGAACAATCCTATCATTTGTGAGTTTGTTTTTATTGTCTTTTTTCAATAGGTCCTACTTCTTAAGTCTGATCATTTATAAATGAATACATTAAAAGTTTTAGAAGCTTTGGATTATCTCATTTTTCTCCAAAGAGGTTTTACATTGTCCTTGGACAGGTACAAAGAGTTATGGCTGACGAGAGGCTATGTTGCAATTTTAAGTTCCCATTGACTTCTAGTTTGTTGCATTGTAGCCTCACAGAGATTTCTTTCTTATAAATGTTCCCTTTCTCACTCTTTGTGTGTGTGTGTGTGTGGCTATTGGGAGTTGAAATCAGGGCCTTGTACTTACTAAGTAGGTACTCTACCACTTGAGCTATGCTGCCAGCTCTTTCTTGATGTGGTTTTTTTTGAGATAGCGTTTCGCTTTATGTGCCTGCACATAAAGCCCGTGACTTTATGTCCATGTAGCTGAGATGATGGGAGCATGCCACAGCCCCAGCCATTGTCATTCTCTTATTTTTTTTCTGTTGCTTTAGGTCTACAGTATTTTGATAGCATTTTTAAGCTTTAAACAGGGTCTCACTGGGTAGGTCAGACTGGTCTGGAACTCTCAGCTCTCCTGCTTCAGCCTCCAAACTGCTAGGATTACTGTGCTGGGGTTACAGGTGTACACCACTATGCCCAGCTCTTTGAAAGCATTTTAATCAGTTCAGATTTATTGATTCATTTAATGTGCTTAGCACTTTGCAAAGTATTATTATACAAGTTAATGGAAGTATAAGACATTATCTTGGCCCATATTGAGGTTAAAATTTAATTTCAGGGGAATAAAGTGATCATGATATCACACTAAAGTATTAATGGTGTGACGTGAAACTTACAGTGGACCACAAAGGAAAGCCAAGAGGGGAAGATTGTTATGAGCAAGAACTCAAATGTGAATACAAGATAGGTGGAAAATGAAAGAATGTAGCCATTATATAGGGTGTACATTTGGGATCATAGGAAATTACATGGATAGGAAAGGGTCATCAGTAGTTTGGGAAGGGTAAGAGTGATGAGGTAGATAGTAAGAGGTCCTTATCAGTTGTAAGGAAGTTGGAAGGTGCAATCAGTATTTTAGGAAGCTAAGTGGATTAGAGCAAGGGGAAGGAGCACAACTTGAAGGCTTTTATTTGGAAAATTCAACTTAGATATAGTCCTACAATAACAAAAATACTCTTTGGTACAGTAATTCTGTTTCTAAGACTAAGAAGAATATTTCAAAATGTTTGTTGTCTAAAGTGATAAGAGAATTGAATCAAGGCAACATCTTGAAGTAACTTTTTTCTCTTTCTAGTGTTATTGCCTCCTGGCACCTTTTCCTTTCAAATCCAAGAAAGTTCAGTGAGGGAGAATCTTCTGAAACACAAAACCCAGTGATTAGGTTCCCCTGAGTTGGAAGATATGGAAGCTCTTAGAATCAGCACGGATTCTTAATGTCTTCTGTAAAACTCTAAGAGAGTTCATAGATAGACTTCTAGGGTTTGGAATTTTTTGAAATACATACAATTTTGTGAAAATAAATATAAGATTTTGGATTATGTGCATTTTCTAGAGAAAAGTCTCAGATCCTCATGTCTTTGTCCCCTTTCCCCAATTAGTAATCTTTTCTTAACAGATTTACTTTCTTTAACTCTCCTTAGAGACTTGGAACTAAGCAGAAAAGACAACATTATGTTGAGCCAAACAGAATTGTCGTACTTACTGTAATAGTCTTTGACATATCAAAACATTAGTTTTGTGTGATTCACCCTAATACACGTTTACATAACTTTTCATGCATTTTTAAAATGTAAAGATATTCACTTTACAAATGTAATTTTAGTTAAACAGTATTCGTTCATATTCATGTTTAAATGGACTTCCTTATTTCATTAAGGTAACTGAATTCTGGTTACATTTCTTCAGTTTCTACATTCCATAAAGTTAATGCTTTTAGATGTATACAATTTCAGATTATGCTGTATTTCTTAGTATTTCTCTGAAAAGTACAGTACAAGAAGGGTGAGTAGATTCAAATTATTCACTAACTTCCATTGTTGGTTCACCTCTGCTTGGAGCTCTTTGATAATGAGAATTCTTAGGCCCTGTTTGAATGTGGGATAAAAAGTGCCTTGACGGATTTACCCTGCCTTTCATGTCTTCCATGAGCACAGGAAGGGTTAGTAGTGGAACTCAGCCATAAGGTCAGACATCCATTAATTACCTTGATTTACCCAGAATTTCTTTGACAGAGTCTTACTTTTCTTCACAATGATGGTGAATATGTAACTTTCCTAATTGTAGTTTGACACTTGAAACTTTGATCAGGCTGGGCATGTAGCCCAGCAGAAGAGCACTTACATAGCACGCCCAAGGCCTTAAGTTCAATCCACAGTGCCATTAAAAAATTGTGGGCTTTTTTTAATGGCAATAGGGAAATTTGGGTTAAGAAAACTTACCTCTAAGGTTCTAAGAAGAGTTCAGATAGCCAGCAGCAATACAATTTAGCTTGGATTTCTTTCTTTCATTTTGATTATTATTTTTGTTTTGTTTTCTCACTTTTCACTAGCGTTTTTTCAAATAAGAATAAAACACAAGAAAAAATGTAATTGAAATGAGGAAACACTTTCAGCCTATGTTTTTGTTTTCTTTTGTAGGTTTCTCTCTGATTCTGAACAGCTGAACATTTTAAGAAAAGCAAGATCTTATATAAAACAGGGAAAATTTGATGAAGTAGTAAGTATACTGGCTTTGTGGACTTAAATAGCTGGTTATCATTCTGGAGTCAGGGAGGGGTGAGGTATGTTGGGAAACCAGGCAGCTTTCCTAAAGCACCGCTTAATCTGCAGACATGCTTCTTTTTCTGGGTTAACATTAGAAATGAATTTTATTGCCATTTTATAAAATGAGAAAATAAATTTCAAGATGCTATCACCCTGTTATGTTTAATACTTTAAAACACATTTGCCATTTTCGCCATCAGAAATGTAATGATCCAGATCAAAGCTTTGACTCTTCCAAACTGCTACTCCACTGTGGTTTTCATTATTTACTTATTTATTTGCTTATTATATTTATAATTTATTATTGTTATTTGGAGATTGAGCCCAGGGCCTGATGTATGATAGGCAAACATTCTACCACTTGAACCATACTTTCAGTCCATTTGCTTTTAGTTTTTTTTTTTCCAGTAGGATCTCACATTAGCTTTGCCTGACTTGGCCTCCAACCATAATCTTCCTACCTCTGCCTCCCTAGTAGCTGGGATTACAGGTTTGAAAAAACATGTCTGGTTTGGCTTTTGAGATAGGGACTTGCTAACTTTTGCCTGGGTTGGCCTTGAGCTATGATCCTCCCACCTCTGTCTCCCGAGTAGTTGGTTAATTTTATTTTGAGACCGAGTCTTGTTGAGTTGCCCAGGCTGGTCTCAACTTTGTCATCCACCAGCCTCCGCCTTCTGAGTAGCTAGGGTTATACTTATGTGCCATCACAGGCACCTAAGAATTCTACTTTCTTTCTCTAAACTGGTAATTCATGCACTTCTAATGCTTGTTTTTGTTGTGGTTTTAAAATGCTGAGCTTGTCCTCTCTAGTCTTCTTAGCTGTTTTAGTGATGTTTTAGAATACATTTGAGTAATCAGATATAAGAAAGTGAAAAATTATATGTAGTTACATACACAAAGACACACAGGCAGCTTTTTAGAATGTATGTGAAGAACCTTTGTTTCTTTTATATGTCATCTGATGATCATTTCTACAAAATGAATTATTTTAACACTACATATGTCATAAATAGTATGAAAATGCCCTTTCTTATCAAGATTAAAAATTCATTTTATTCTAGAATTTTTCTCACATTTTGCAAGAAAATCCTCAGACAATTAAAATCTGTTCTTAAAACCCTCATCCACAGTAATGCTGTAATATATGACAATGATTGGCTGGTAGAAGCTGTAAAATTTTCCTTTTTTTGAAATTTAGGTTTTGTATTCTTTCTATGTCCAAGTTACATTGTATTTTTCTCCATAGGTTTCCCTTTGCGAGGAGCTAATTGATCTTGCATTGAAAGGACTGTCCTATTATCACACTTATGACAGGTTCTTTCTGGGCATCAACGTTGTTATTGGTTTTGTGGGATGGACATCTTACGTTTCTTTGTTAATCATCAAGTCTCATTCAAACCTTACAAGAGATGTTACCAAGGAAGTTAAGGTAGGTTCAGAGAACATAGTAAAAAGATTCGGATGATGGTATAAAAATCATGAGGACAAGGAAATTTAATTAAATCATATGTAGTGAGTTCATAGGATAGTCACTGTGTTAAGTTAGCTCTTATGTGTCTTTCATTTGCTTTCGTTGTATTGGGTCTTTTTTCTGTTTCTTTAGTTGGTAAGAAGATAGACTGACTCAATTGACTCTGCAACTTAACAGGATAATAGAGACGTGTATAAATCATATACTCCTATAATCTTGATGTTGATTTTCTGTTCTTTTTAATAATTATTTAATATGTTATAAGTATTCTATATATTTCTACAGGTAATTAGAAGACTACTTCAAAACAATACATTTAACTTTATCTGATACTAAGTTTAAAAGCTGGAAAATGATAAAAAAAAATCACTTGCTTAAAATGTTTCTTTTTAAATGGTGTGTATTCTGGAATTATTCTTCTTTCAACTTTATGAAATTTCTCAAAATACAAATTTCTGGAACTTTTTACTTATCCTTATTGTTTTTATTTACTGGTGTGCTATGCATTCCTAGTTTACTATGCTTTCAATGAAAAAAATGTAAAGTCTCTTTAAATGGAAAATATAACAGTACATATGTGGCTCTGCTGCATTAAGAGACTTTGGTCTTTTAAGATATATTGCTGACTATCATTTACCAAGGAGAATAGGTTACTTCAATTTCCCTTGCTTCATTCTCTCTACTGATTGTGACCATGTCCAAATCCTCTAAAAAGTAGTATATTCTGGTGGCTTATTGCTAGTAATAATACTCTATAAACATTTATAGTAGTAACTTTTCCAGTTTTATATTTTATTTTTCTAAAATGGAGGGAAGAACATTAGGGTTTAATTCAGTTTTTTGTAGTGCCTTACTGTATCTTAAATAATCTCCACCCAAGTGATTTTAATTATTTAAATATATTTGAAGTTGGCTGTAATAGGAATAATTTCATACTCAGGTAGTGACAGAGAAGTGACTGTTTTAGAAATGGGTATATCTAGGTATCTACTGAATACTTGAGATACAGTCCTAACGGTACTGGAAGTAAGCATTGTGATTTCTGTTTACAAAGATGACACTGAAGCTCTGAGGGTGATTAACTAACTTGGTAAAGGCCACTTAGTGAGAATGGGGAACTGAATCCAGAGCAGTCTTGTACTAAAGATTGCCTTTTCTTTCCTTTTTCCTTCCTTCCTTCCTTTCTTTTTGGGAGTTTGAACTCAGGGCCTTGGATTTATTAGGCAGGCTGTCTACAAATTGAGCCACTCCACTAACTGTTCTTTAATTTTTATCTTGATGTTCAGGTTATTGAGAAAGGATATGATGTTTTTAGACTGATATGTCAATAAGATTTCATAGCTGATAGTTCTTTTTATTCATTTATCTGATACAACAGTCAGTATGTAGAGTGCAATGCTAGGTTCTATTATATAGGCTATACAGAGAAATATGAGATTCAGATTTTACCCTCAGGGATCTTAGATAAATAAAGTAGGTAAGAGATGTACATACATAACCAACTTACTAGATACTGGTCACTGTGTCTGCACTATACTATTAAAGACAATCTTAATATATAATTATATATATATGTATATATATATATGTGCTTGAGGTGGTACAAAGACTATCATATTTTTTTTTTGGTGGGACTAAGGTTTGAACTCAGGACCTCATACTTGCTAGGCGGGTGCTCTACCACTTGAGCCACTCTGCAAGCCCTAAGACTATCATATTTTAAATAAAGTAGAACTCAGCTGGGCATGGTGGAGCATGCTTATAATCCCAGCTACTTGGGAGGTAGATGTAGGAGGATTTTAAGTTTAAGGCCAGTTTGGGCAAAATTAGCATGACCCTATCTCAAAAACAAAATACAAACAAAAGAGCTAAGAGTATGGATCAAGTGGTAGCACACTTGCCTGGCATGCATGAAGTCCTGGGTTCACGCTCCAGTCCAATAAATAAATAAATATATAAAAGTGGAACTCACCATAAGTAGGTTGATAACAGGAAAAAGTAAGTTTTGCTGGAAGTTTAACATTTAGACTTAAATGGTAGGATGAGAATTAAAGATGTTATATGATACAAAGGCAGAACTGGGAAAAGATTCTATTAGGTTCAGATAGTCATTTTTCTTGAGCTCCATTGTTTCAGGAGTGTCCTGGGTACTTTACAGATGTTTTTATTTTGTTTTGTTTTTGGTAAGACTGGGGTTTGAACTTTGGGCTTTACACGTGCAAAGCAGGTGCTATATGGCTTGAGCCATGCCGTCAGTCCATTTTACTTTGGTTACTTTGGAGATGGAGTCTTGTGAACTGTTTCCCCAGGCTGGCCTCAAACTGTGATCCTCCCAATCTCAGCCTCTCAAGTAGCTAGGATTACAGGTGTGAACTATTGTCACCATCTGTACAGATGTTAATCAGTTTGTTAAACACTACTTGGTGGCTATGATTCTCATAGTATGGATGGGACAATTTAGGCTCAAAGAGATTACGTGTTTTCTTCAAGAACACACAGGTTTTAAATGACAGAGTTGTATTTTCTAATACTTAATTTTTGCTTTCTATACCATGCTGCCTTCAAGAAGGGCGGGGGAGTGGCTCAAATATAGAGCACCTGCCTAGCATGTATGAGGCCCTGAGTTCAAACTCCAGTACCACAAAAAAAAAAAAAAACAAAGGAAAAGAAAGAAGATAAATTTGGGTGGAATGGAATGTGTGAGGTTTGTTCAAGAGACTGTTAGGAGATAATACTGCTAGTATAGATTAGGCCAAAGTAATCAAAGGCCTCGAATGCTGGGTGACAGCATTCAGACATTAGTGAAAAGTTGATATATCAGTTAATGCCCAATGAGAAAAGCAGTACCAGTAGGAGATAAATAGTAAGAGATTTAGTGTGAGAAGTTATGTTGTGCAATCTTGAGGGCTTCTTAGGCAAGTCCTAAAGCCAAGGTCAGGACAGGACAGGTAGGTTGGAACATGGAGACAGGAATTGAAGCACTCAGCAGGTGTAATTTCTTCAGAGAACCTTCAGTTCTATTCCTAAAGCCTTTCAACCAATTGAATTAGACCTACACAGGCAATTGACGATAAGCTCCCATTCTTAAAGCTAACTAAATATGACCAAAGCAGGACATATGCCTGTATGGAAATGTCACAATGAAACCCATTAATATTTATGATTAATGTGTTATTAATTATAATAATAAAATATTGAAAAATAGTTACCTGATTATGATTTAATCACCTCTAGAAGATACTTTTCATATCACTGCCTAGATTTGTAGCTACATAATTGGAGACAATAGCCAGTCAAGTTGGCACATAAAACTGACCATTACAGTCAAGATCATTTAAAGTATTTTGGATCCTTTGGTACTGTTTGTAAAAACATTCTGATTCCTCTTTGGTTTATAGTCTTGGAAGTAACACATCTCAACAGTTCCGTAGGAAGAGTAACATGCTAGTCTGTAGCATTAACTGAAGAGAGGTATAGAGAGCAGTTAGAAGGTAAGATAGTTGCAACTGTGCACATATTGAAATGTGGTTGTTGCAGCTGGAGTGTAGGGAGGCTTCTCAGAGGTTATTGCCAAAGGTGGATTGAGGAAGGAGAGAAAGAGAGAGGATGGCAGTGTGTGTCCAGTGAGGAGAGTGAGTGGTCTCTGGGAAGAGCTACACATGCCAGAGCATCTGCCGTGGGGAATGAGAGATGAATTTGCAACAAATATTATTCTCCATTGCCAGATGAGGAAACAGAGCTTCAAATGATGTAGTCAAATTGACAAGCAAATAGAATGTCAGTGTCGGAATTACATATCGTTCTGACTTCATGGCTTACACCACTTCTACATGCTAGTGTCCTCAAGAGCCTAGAGGTCATTTTTGTTAATTACTGTGACAGGCCAGTTTATTGACTGGTTCTTTCCTTGAAATGTAATTCTTCATAGCTTCTCTTACCTGAATTCTATATTAAATTTTGATGTGCTCCTGGCTTCTCCTTTGCTCTTGCTAGTTATGATGTCTTTTGCTTTGCAACTGAATATTATGATGTCTCCTGCCTACTCTATTGGTCTCCCTTTCACCTTGTAAAATCCCAAAATATCAACCCCTTAAATGAAGTCTAATTATCTCCACATGTATATTTTAAACTCCTTGAAGGCCAGCAGCTAATACAGAGGATAGCACTGAGTGTGTGACTTAGTAAATGCTTGTTGGATGAAGGAGTGTTCGTGAGGCATGGTTTGTTACCATCGTTTTTTTTTTTTTTTGGTCGGGGGCAGGGTATCAATTCTGAATGAAGTGGAAAATGTCCCCCCTCTTACTTAAAATACTTTCAATTTTACCACTTTAGTAGGAATAGCTAAACCTAATTCTTTTTATGACCTGGTTTCATATAAGGAGATGTCATTTCTAATGTGTATTGCTGTATGTTATCAAAGGATTAGTTAATTCTCCATATTGTATTGACACTAGAAAAATCAAGATTTTTATCGGATACTCTTATATACTTCATTTCTCATTATTTTACTGTTCCCCATATGATATAAGCCAGTCCTCAACTTTTAAAATTAATAGCTGCCTTAGCTACTTTCAGCTTTAGAAACCCCATCTGTCTACATCTGTTTTAGTTTTGCCCTTTCTTCCCGCATCCTTTTGCTATGGGACCCCATTACTGCTCTGATACCTGTGTTTCCAGTACTATGCACTGATAGGTTTTTATGATGATTGCTGGGACCAATGCAAGGAAGAATTTTTTTAAAGTAATAATAGTACTCATAACTTGTTAAGCAGTGGTAAGATTCCAGGCATTTTGTGAAGCTCTTTATAAAATCTCATTTAGCATTACCAACTTTGATAAATAGGTATGAATTATTATTCCCATTTCATAGATGAGTAAAACCAAGTCTGAGAAAAGTTTTACATTTTGTTCATGATTTGTTTTTTTATTTTGCTGGGGGTACATTGTGGCATTTACAAAAGATCATATATAATATATCATAGTTGAAGTCACCCCTTCCATCATTCTCCTTTATCCCTCCTCCCCCCCATTCCTGGAATAGTTTCAACAGGTCTCATTTTTCTATTTACATATGTGTGTTTACAGTATGTGCACCATATTGATTCTCCTATACCCTCTCTCCACATCCTTCCTTCTCTCACTAGTACCAACCCCCCACCATAGACTGTTCATGATTTATATAGTGAGAAAATATGAGAGCCAGGATATGAATTCTAATCCATTCAGCTCCAAACTCCTAATTACAATGCTATGTTTTAGTCCCCTTTTAACAATTATGTGCTAATTCATCCTGTTTCTTCCTTTCTGATATTTTATGCCAATAGAGAAAAACAATAAAAGGGGGGGAAAAATCTGTTCCTTTTCTTCCCTAAATTCTACTTTGGAAAGAAGTTGTTAATTCTCACTTTATTTAGGTGGCTAACAAAGCAAGGGAAAGCCGAAAGAAAACATGGAATGAAAGCAAAAGAACCACATTGCCTTTCCATTCCTCTTCTTCCCCCCACCCACCTCTTTCTTCTTTCCATGTATGTTTAACCTCTTCTGGAATCCCTTATACTTTATACCCTTTTCTAACTCCTGCTTTATTGCCTTAGACTCATGTTCTTAGACTCAACTTCTCCATGATCATGTCTGTTTCCCAGTCACTGGAATGTCTGTCCCTGATTCTTCTACCAGTGTACCTGGCCCATTGTCTTTGGGCCTGCTTAGTCCATGGAGTCTATAACTAGTGTTAGACTGAGGAACTCCCTTGCTGGCAGGTGGTGGGAAGAGTAAATATGACTGACTAAACCTACTGTGGTTGGGCAATGGACCAAAGACACTGTGGGTAGCATGTCAAGTTAGAGCTTGACTGGATAGAAACATTGTTCCAAATGAAGATTAAGTCCCATAGTTTATTATGGATTAAATACGCTTTTGTAAATTAGCCAAAGAACTCAGTCAAGATTTGAAAAAGTGTTTTTAAGAGGAAATATGTTTAGAGCGCTGAACAAATTACTTGCAAACAAACTGTAAGACCATAATCACTTTTGAGTTCAGAATTGCTTAATTGCAACAATTCCCGGCTATCCAACTTTTTCTTCTGTTATATGCTCCTCAAATGGTAGATTTTTCTTCTTGAATACAACCCTTTGATTAATCATCTAGTTGTAGAACCACTGAAAGAAAGTAATGTTTTCTTCACTTTATAAAATCTGTTTTAACAACCTATCAATTAGCATGATTTGGAAGTGTTTCAATGTTTTGTTTGATTTTCAGAAACCAAGCTGTCTGCTGCTGTGTAGTTTTGGAGCTATTGGCATTTTAGTAGCAGTTTTTCTGCTGATTCAAGCCTGTCCCTGGACTTATTATGTATATTGTTTGCTGCCGGTGCCAATATGGTATGCAGTTCTAAGACAGTAAGTAATGCATCTTGAAAAAGAAAAAAAAAAAGTAATGCATCTTGCTCCTTGTTTCTTACTTCATTAACAATTAAGTATATGTTTACATTCAGTAGATTTCTGTAGCATAAGTCAGCGAAGGCATTTATAATACTCTCAACTCTTCAAACCCTCTCCCTTTATTTATAACTGTAAGAATGTTGCATATTAAATACCCTTTTTGTTTTATCTTTTCCTTTTAACTTCCCTTTGCCTCGAGGTAGTAGTGACCTTATTCCCTTCTTTGTGTATCTTTTATAAGAAAAATTTGGAATGGCTGGATGCAGTGACTCACACAAGTAATCTTTTTACCTTGGTTGTTTTTGAGGTAGGGTTTCATGTGTATACCCAAATGCCCAGGCTGTCTTGAACCTCAGTCCTCCTGTTTTTGCTTCCTGCTTCATTGGGATGACAGGTGTGCACCACCATGCTTTTATTGGTTGAGGTATAGTCTCAAGAAGTTTGTTCCCAGATAGGTCTCAACTTGAGATCCTCCTAATTCCTGCCTTCCAAGTAACTAGGATTACAGGCATAAACCACCATGCTCAGCTTAGTTTTAAAATTTTTTAAAAGGTTTTATCCTTGCAGAAAATTCTTTTCTACTACAGAACCTCACATGAAATATTAAATATCCTAGTTATTAAAATAACGTATTTCAATTTTAAGGGAAGATAGGGTTTTGAAAGTATGTTATATTCCATCTTTATCATTTTGATAAAATATATAGAAAATAAAACATAAAGATTCTGTTTTCTTCTAGAAGAAAGTCTTCAAATGTTTATACAGAATCCTCTCTTGTTCCTGTTTTGCTTATTCATTCTTGAAAACGAATCATTCTTCTCTTAACTGGTATTAGCTTTTTTTTTCCTACATGGTACCTTGCAAGTTTGATAACATTCTACAGCCACTGTTTTCAATCAGAAAAAGGTCATAAACCAAATGATACTGACCTTTTATAATTACCTACTTAATGCGCTACAAATGCTAAAGTTTTTCTTCCCAGTGATGAAATGTGAAAAGCACTCAAGTATGTAATACATTTTTGGTGGTTATAAATTTGCAATTACAATTAGTATACAATTAATGGCATCTTAAATTGGGTTTGGAAAAGGTTATTTAGTTCAGTTAAAAAGTGCAATTGAGCCTGGCCTGGTAGCTCATGCCTCTAATCTCAGCACTTGGGAGAGGGAGTCAGGAGTAATTCAAGGCCAGTCTGGGCAACTTAGGGAGACCCTGTCTCAAAATGACATTTTGTAAAAAGCAACAACAACAACAAAAACTGGGAATGTAGTTCATTGATAGGGGCACTTGCCTGGCTACATACAAAGCCCTGGGTTCAATCCCCTGTATTTCATTAAAATGGCTGAAATTTTAATATAAGTTTACCTATGTGAGTTTAATTTATTTTCAGTTTTTATACATTTGGGTTCTTTGTATTTTATTTCTGATATTGTATTTTTAATTGTATGTACCTATGTTTAAACAAGACTCATTTGTCATTAATGTTTATAAAAACTGAGCAAACTCTTGCAGTCATTTTCAAATTAAGTCAGAAATGACATTTTGTACATTTTTCTTAAAGTATGTACAACAAAAACATCACAATTAAAAGCCATTGAAATAAATGTGTTGGTGTTTATCTTAGTTTTTAAATAATCTAAGAATCGAAAAATCCTTAAGTTTTAGCTTCTTACAAATTTTTTTTTTACTATATATGACTAACTTTTAAATAGAGTATAAGAAATCTTTTATAAATAATTTCTTAAAACAGATTTCAAGTTATTCAAGACGTTGTTGCATCACTGTTAACTTTTCCTCTGAGCCGTTTTGTTGGGTTCTTGCTGGTCTTTACCTTGGGAATTGAAGTATTAGTAAGTAATTTAACAGATTGTAACATTGTTATATTTCTTTCATGTATTAATAATTAATTTTAAATGACCTCACTTTTCATTATTCTTTGAAATGCATTACTAGGTTCTCAGTTTCTTCTACCGCTGTATGCTTACAGCTGGACTTATTGCCTTTGCTGGGTGGCCATTTCTTACTCAGCTATGGACTCAAGCAAAGGTATAATTACTCATTATTTTGTTCTGATATATGTATAATTCAAGGAATTGTTTATTTTTAGACAAAGGGGTAGAATGAATCCTTATGTAAAGAGCCTGGTTCTTTTGACAGAAGGACTGACATCAGCTTTAGGTTTCAGTGATCCACTTAGATGTCATACCAAAATGAGCCAGTTTTGTGGTAGCGGAAATGCTATAGAAGCAGAGCTGATTTGTACTCTGAAGCATTTCTTTAGCCTCAGATTTCTAGAAGATGGTGAAGGCAAAGAACTGCCCAGAGCAGCACAGTGGCTTAGAGGACCATATTCTGAACTTGAGCCAGAGGAGTTGATTTCCTCATGGCCCTGAGCATTCAATTTTTTTTCTAGAGAAGTATAATATATTCATGGCATATTTTTTAAAATATGATTACTATTGATTTTCTTTGTTTAACTAGGCAAGGAATTATAGTGTACTTCCACAAAGACTACTCTGGGATTTTTTTGGGGGGCAGGGTATGGGTAGAATTAAAACAGGGTGTTGCTATGTATAGCCCAGTCTGGGCTTGAACTCCCAGTCCTTCTGCCCCAGTATCCCAAATGCCTGGATTGCAGATATGCTCCATCATGCCTGGCTATACAAAAACTATTCTTTATGTAAATTATTTTATTTTGGCAGTACCAAAGTCTGTGTATAAGATTTTGTATTTGCTAGGCAAGAGCTTTACCACTTGAGCCACATCCCAGCCCTTTTCGCTTTTTTTAAGTTATTTTTCAGATGGGGTTTTGATTTTTCCTGTGCTAGCCTTGGACCATGATCTTCCTACCTATGGCCTCAGGTGGCTGGAATGACAGGCACATGCCACCATGCTTGGTTTATTGGTTGAGGAGGGGTTTCACTAACTTTTTGCCCAGCCTGGCCTCAAACTGAGAGCCTCCTGATTTCTGCATCCCGAATAGGTAAATTAACAGGTGTGAGCCACTGTGCCCAACCACAGACTACTCTTTATGTTTTTATTTTTTTATACTTTTTGATAGAGATAACAGAAGGATAGAAATGTCTTCTTTCTAGCCTATGAGAACTTACAAATACTCCAATTAATGTGATCATTTTGTCTCAATCTAATGAGAAAAGTATTTTTCTTATTTCCCTTCTGTATTCAATCGAAATAGTTTTCTTATAGTTATCATTATCAATATATGGTATAACATGAACTAAATGATGCTTTTGTTTTGAATATCAGACCTAAGTTTAAATCCCAGTTGTTTCATTTACTAGTTGTAGATCTGATACTACTTATATTTTAGCTTGTCTAAGCTGTCTGAACTAGTTTTCTCAGCTAAAACGTGAATAATAAAACTTGCATTTTGAGGTGGCTAAAAATTAAATGAGATTATGCTTATGTTGTATCCCATATACCATTTACTGTTTTGTAATACAGGTCCTTAACACATAGTAACTATATCACTTACTAAACAGCTGTATGGTTTTGTATTGTCCTTAGTTTCAGTCATGTAATCCATGAAACACTGAAAACAGGGTTCTGTAACATATTTGTCTAAGATTTTTTTTTTTCTGAATTTCAGATTACCTCCCTGAGTTGGACCTTCTTCTCTTTGCTTCTGGCCATGTTTCCACTGATGCCTGTTGTAGGTCGAGAGCCAGACATCTCTCTAGTGTATGAGCAATATTTTCTTTCCTTGTCAACATAAGTTTTTCCTCAGTCAGCACTATGAAACTTTAACTAATCTTGATTATGAGTTTAAAATCACATGAACAAACTGGCAGTTTATGTTCTGGGAATCATTAAATCTCCCTGGAGATGTTACCAGGGCTTCACAATAATGAAATTGTGCCCAAAATAGTGTAAAATGTGCACCCCCCCCCAAGTCTAGGTTTTCTTTCTTTTGCATATTGAGGAATCAGTAAAAATTTATATTTATGTAAAAAAAAGTTCTGTTGCCAAAAAAAAAGGTCTCTTTCTTTGCCTTTGAGCCTGTCCACACTAAAATGTCTTCATAAATGAAAGTTTCTCCTATTCTAATTGACATCTCTTTATCAATTAGAAACTCTTTATCTTGATAATTTTTCCATGTGAGAAAATTCTTCTGTATGGGCAGGTGGTGTGGCTCAAGTGGTAGAGTGCCTGCCTAGCAAGAGTTTATAACAAGAGCTCAAAACCCCGGTACTGCCAAAAAATTCTGTACATCTTACCTAAATTCCCCATTCTGCTGGTATATTTCTCAATATGACACAGATAAATGTGTAAAATAATTGGTTATCTTTGCTTTTAACTACACTACTTTTTTGTCTTTTCTTGGTGGTACTGGGGATTGAATTCAGGGCTTTGTGTATGTGAGGCAGGTGCCTGAGCTGGCCTGGAATCATGATCCTCCTGATCTCAGTCTTCTGCATAACTTGGATTGACAGGCACATACCACCACACCCAGATGTTGGTTGAGATGGGGGTCTCACTAACTCTCTGCCAGGGCTGATCTCCTACCTCAGTCCTCCTGATCTCAGCCTTCTGAGTAGCTAGGCGTGAGCCACTGGTGCCCAGCTGTTTTAACTACACCTTTAAATTGTTGCTAAGTAACCTTACAGCTGTGTGTATATGCCTGGGTGTGCTTGGTGAGCTAAACAGTCATTATTTCATTTAGCATTTCCTTTCTTATTTTTTTAATCATATAACCATCTTTGTTACTTTTTCTGTAAGCATTTTGAAAACATTTTAAACTAACCTTTAGTAGATAAGGATATATATAGATATATATGTATTTAACAGGAGGATGGTTAACTAAATATTTTAAGTATTTGCTAATTTAAGAGATTCTATACATTGTCCACAAGAACCAATATGAAATATATAAGAAATTATCCCAGTAAGTCTGTTTCTTAGCAGAGCCCAACAGTTGTATTGAATTCTAAGATCATACTGTCTAAGCTGTACTATATTAGAGCTAATATTACTAAGTCAAAACCTTTTGCAACTGTCCTAGTAGATGAAAAAAATGCACTCAAATGTTTTCATTTATTTCTTGATGCAGATTGCTCTGTGAGCTCTTCTGTTGTTTCTGTAAAGCCACTTTCCTCCTTTTATCAGTCTCCACATATCAGTCCTGTTTAAGTGATATTGACATAGTTAAACAGAATTTATCATATGCTAAAAGAAAAGGAAATTGTGTACATGGTCCCCATAGAAATTTGCCACTCACATATTCTATTGAGGAATACAGGGAGCAAATGAATCTACTAAAACATGAAAAATCTAATTTGTATTTTTAAAATATGTTGTTTCTTCATATACTTAATTTACATTGCTCATTGATTAAATTTATGTTGGTTTCCTACTAGCTATATTTGCAACTTGGCTTAGGGAAAAACTTGTGCTCTCCATTTACTACATTCTATAGAAAAATTACAAAAAACAGATATGTGAAACATTCTAGGAAAAAAATTAAAGGAAAAAGCAAAAATGTATAGAACATAGCTGTAATGTCCCTGTTACTCCACTGCACTGCCGTAACAACACATTTGCCGATGAGTGAAAATGCCAACCAAGTTACATTTTTTTATAAAAGAAAGCATAAAAGCAAAGAATCTCAATATGCATCACTATTTCCCTGAGTTTTAATATAATCCATGTTAAATATATTCATACTTTTTTTGTTTAGATTCTCAAAGTATTTGAAGAATCTAAAAACAAAATCTAAGTGTTTTCCTGGGGATTCCTGCTTTGTGTTCTCCTTAGGAGTTTAGCTCTTCCTTCCTGCCTTCCTTCCTGTCTTCCTTCCTTTCTGCCTTCTTTCCTTCCTGCCTTCCTCCCCCACCCACTTTTCTCTTTGTTTTCTTTGAAACAGGGTCATGCTGTGTAACCCAGGTTGGCCTTGAACTCACAATCCTCCTGCCTCAGCCTCGTAAATGCTGGGATTGCAAGTATTCATCACCATGCTCAGCTATTTTGTCCTTTTTGTTTCTCTTCAGCCAACTCCTTTTCTCTTAGTTCTGATACATTTGGGTTCTAGATTCCACCTTGAATGTAATTTCAGTTGCATTATGTTATTCAGAATTTTAGGAGGTGAGAACTACAGCTAACAATAGTATACCATTTCCTTGATATCAGTCACCTTTGACTTTAGGACCCATTCTATACCTGGTGTTCTTAAAAAGTATAATCTGCTATTTCAGTAAGTAATGTACTCGCCTACATGCTGTCTTTGTGAGTACTGTCTAACCTTTCCTTTAGGCAGGATACCTGAGGAAAACACCAAGATCAATCACAGAAAGAACCCGTTTGTCCTGTTAGAAACAGCATAGATTATAAACGTATATTCCTTTTTGCGTGAATAAGTATTCATAGTCATAAAATGTGTGTTATAATGTTGATAATACTTTTGTTTAGCTTTCTTTTATGTTGTCATCTATAAACTTGCCTGGTTCAAACTAAGAAATATGGTATTTGTTTTAAGTAAAATTTTAAAAAATTGAATTAGAGAAATAAAGTAAAGATGCTAAGAAAAATTGTGGAGAGAGGTTACAAATAACTCCTTTGCTACAGAGCTTGTCCTAATAAGGTTTTTATTATTTTTTATAGTACTTCTGAGTCCATTTTTGCTACTTCCTGTTGATTAAACCAAATGATGGAGAGGTTCTACGTTAGATTAAAATGTCTCATGTTTTCACATGATATATTTAGTACATATCTTAAGAAAATTTTAAATTGAGAATTATATTTTGAAACAGAATGGGTGCAGGATTACTGGTTCTTCTGCTATCGCTGTTTGTTGTAACATCCCTCATAAAAAGAAAAAATAGTTTGGTAAAGGAAGAGCTGTTGGTGCATCTGTTACAGGTCAGTTACAGATTTTTCAATAGTATGTTATACTAGTGATATAGCAAAATGTATCTTATATTTAGTTATGTTCTTAAGATGCTATTGTGTTCATGTCACTCAGTATCTGCCAGTTCAGAGGAAAATTTTTTGTTTAAGATAATACACAGAAATATGCTGTGTACAAGGTAAGAAATAACAAAAAGGTTAACAAGAGGCAACTGAAATATTGCCAGAGAGCAGAGGTTAAGGAGACTTAAGAGGCATCTGTACTGATCAGCGTGAGCTAAAAAGGGCTTCCTCTGAACTGAGATTCTGCTTTGTTCTCACTTAAAAGACGAGCTTCTTTGAAGTGAAAGCAGTCGGGTATGTTTATATGAAGAATAGCAGTTAAGACTTCAGACAATGTCCTAAAAGAAGATGAACTTCAGCTTGGTTGGTGGCTTTGGTGTAGTGAAAAGAACTTTGAACTCGAAATTTCACAATTAGTCAATTCCCAGTTATGTTGCATGTTAATTTTTAATTTTCAGTAATTTGACTTCAATTTATTTTTAATCTGTGAGTAGAGATAATATCTAGTGGGGTTGTGAGAGAGATTATATAACATAATAGTTTATAAAGTTAGGTCTTTTTGTAGATAAGATTGAAAGCCACTTTTTTTCCTTTTAAATGAATAAATAACCACATGTAGAACACTGACTTAAAAAAAAAGAAACCTCATGAGTCTTAAAAAAATTTCCTCAGAACAAAGTTGTAATAATAGAACATATTTCTGAAACACTCTGAAATAAAAATATACCACACTTAAAAGATGATATCATGAATTAAATTCATTCTTGGAGAGCAACAGAGAACTTAAAAAAAGAGAAGAAACAGTCTGTCAAAGATCCTATCAAGCCATTGAAACATATGTTTCATTTTAAATAGTATACTGAGTACCTTGACACTAAAGGCAGAATAGCTTTGATAGAATTCACCTCTAATAATGAGAATTTTGACGGAAGACTTGTTTCTGACTTTCACTCTAGAGGAGCAAAGAATACCCTGGTAAAATTCTTTCCTGCTTTGTTAGAAATACCTGAGTGTTATGTACCTCTATTACAAAGTTCTTTTTGCATTTGCTTTAGTAATTGGCATTGATTACTATACTGCCTGACATATTTTATTGATTCAAAAATACACATTTTTTTCATTTTAACATCTCTGAAATTAGAATATGTTTTATAATAAGCAGGCTCCTAGCATTACATTGTAGCTTTATTGACAGACTTTTTTGCTTCTTGATTCACTGAAAATATGAGAGAAAATTAAGTATATCTCTAGGCTAAGGTAATAAGACTACTGATCTGAACTCTGAGGGCTTAGCTTGTTTATAGTCATGATTTAACTTATTTCTTAAAATCACAATTCACTAGTTCAGTGCTCAATAAACATTATTCTAAGGAGCCAAATAGTAAATATTTTAGGTTGGTGGGTCATATGGAGTCTGTTATAAATTTTCAACTCTATCATTTTATTGCAAAGAGAGATAACACATGAATGAATGGTGGCAACCATGTCCCAGTAAAGCAGTGTGCACAAAAATAGACTATCAGTCTACAAATTGCAGTTTGTCAACTTCACTGATTTATAAATGTTCTCTGAAGAGTTTTTATATTCTTTGTATGTCTAGTGTGAGGTAGAATATTCAAGCCACAAAAATGCATCCGTTCAATGAATATACTATGGATGAGTGTAAGAGGTGGGAAATACTAAGCCATATACACTAAACTATACACATACTGCCGTCTTTGATTCCATCATTTGTGGAATCTTCAACATTTATAACAAAAACTTCTAAATGGAAACAGTGTGATGATGGATACCAAAACCAGCTTGGCATGTAAACCGCCTTATGCTAATCTTGTAAAGGAAGACCTTTGCTTCGTACAGGAATACTAACTCTTATCCTGGGGGCACACCAAGGTGACCTCGTCCAATTTTAGTAGCATTTTTGTCAGATTCCAGTTGCTCTCAGCACTTTCCTAGGTCTTTGATCACCTTCTTTTTTATTGGCCTGTTTTTGTTTGTGTTTTCAGATGCTAAGCACAGTGCTTTCCATGTATGTTGTGCACAGCACCCACAGTAGTCTGTTCAAGAAACAAGGACTTCCTCTTATGAATCAGATTGTGAGCTGGGCAACATTAGGTAAGCAGCCAGTCAAACTGGATGGGATAATGTTACATCAGGTCAGTCATCCTAAAATGATCCATTTATGTCTGAATTTTATTGAAAGCAATAAGTTTGTTGCAGGAAAATAATAACTAGCTATTTCTATCTTGCTATTATTTAACAAAGAGAATTAGGACTCCTGGGAATTACTTGGTAGACTATTTATAACTTGATAATACAATTGTGTATTTATTAATTCATAATAGAAATCTGCTGAGAGACTCCAAAAGAGAAGAGGATTTCATGAAAAGAATCTTAGGTTTAATTTTCGTATCATTTCATAAATTCTCAGTTCTTACAATGTAACTAGGAAATGGTTAAATTTTATGTTTCTCTTTCTGAAAATAACACTGACTAGTCACCTCCCAACACATTTCACATTTTATAAAGCTAGTTAAATGTTTCAAAGCACAATTCCTCATGCACTGCCTTATTTAAGAATGTTGGAATGTGTGAAGCAAACATGTAATTTAAAGACTTAAACTTTCTCTTCCAACTAGATCTGAGCAACCTTTTAAGTCCATGCTTTTCACTCTAAAAGGATACTTTGTTATGCCTGTGAATTATTTGGCATACAATTTAACCTTTTAAAAATGCTTTTTATTGCTCATCACTAAAAAAGGAAAAGATCTTTGAATGAAACCTCACCTTAAAAAGGTGATTAAACCAAAGTAATCTACATGTTTAATGCAATTCCCATCAAAATTCCAATGACATTCATTAAAGAGATTGAAAAATCTACTGTTAAATTTATATGGAAACACAAGAGGCCACGAATAGCCAAGGCAATACTCAGTCAAAAGAACAATGCAGGAGGTATCACAATAACTGACTTCAAACTATATTACAAAGCAATAACAATAAAAACAGCATGGTACTGGCACAAAAACAGACATGAAGACCAGTGGAACAGAATAGAAGATCCAGATATGAAGCCACACAACTATAAGCAACTTATCTTTGACAAAGGAGCTAAAAATATACGATGGAGAAAAGCAGCCTCTTCAACAAAAACTGCTGGGAAAACTGGTTAGCAGTCTGCAAAAAACTGAAACTAAATCCATGTATATCACCCTATACCAATATTAACTCAAAATGGATCAAGGATCTTAATATCAGACCCCAAACTCTAAAGTTGATACAAGGAAAGAGTAGGAAATACTCTGGAGTTAGTAGGTATAGGTAAGAACTTCTCAATGAAACCCCAGCAGCACAGCAACTAAGAGATAGCATAGATAAATGGGACCTCATAAAACTAAAAAGCTTCTGTTCATCAAAAGAAATGGTCTCTAAACTGAAGAGAACACCCACAGAGTGGGAGAAAATATTTGCCACTACATCAGACAAAGGACTGATAACCAGAATATATAGGGAACTTAAAAAACTAAATTCTCCCAAAACTAATGAACCAATAAAGAAATGGGCAGTGAACTAAACAGAACTTTCTCAAAAGAAGAAATTCAAATGGCCAAAACACATGAAAAAATGCTCACCATCTCTAGCAATAAAGGAAATGCAAATTAAAACCACACTAAGATTCCACCTCACCCCTGTTAGAATAGCCATCATAGCAACACCACCAACAACAGGTGTTGGCGAGGATGCGGGGAAAAAGGAACCCTCTTACACTGTTGGTGGGAATGTAAACTAGTACAACCACTCTGGAAAAAATTTGGAGGCTACTTAAAAAGCTAAACATTGATCTACCATTTGATCCAGCAATACCACTCTTGGGGATATACCCAAAAGACTGGTTACTCCAGAGGCACCTGCACACCCATGTTTATTGCGGCACTATTCACAATAGCCAAGTTATGGAAACAGCCAAGATGCCCCACCACTGACGAATGGATTAAGAAAATGTGGTTCTATACACAATGGAATTTATGCAGCCATGAAGAAGAACGAAATGTTATCATTCGCTGGTAAATGGATGGAATTGGAGAACATCATTCTGAGTGAGGTTAGCCTGGCCCAAAAGACCAAAAATCGTATGTTCTCCCTCATATGTGGACATTAGATCAAGGGCAAACACAACAAGGGGATTGGACTTTGAGCACATGATAAAAGCGAGAGCACACAAGGGAGGGGTGAGGATAGGTAAGACACCTAAAAAATTAGCTAGCATTTGTTGCCCTTAACGCAGAGAAACTAAAGCAGATACCTTAAAGCAACTGAGGCCAATAGGAAAAGGGGACAGGAACTAGAGAAAAGGTTAGATCAAAAAGAATTAACCTAGAAGGTAACACACGCACAGGAAATCAATGTGAGTCAATGCCCTGTATAGCTATCCTTATCTCAACCAGCAAAACCCTTGTTCCTTCCTATTATTGCTTATACTCTCTCTTCAACAAAATTAGAGATAAGGGCAAAATAGTTTCTGCTGGTATTGAGGGGGGAGAGGGAGGGGGTGGAGTGGGTGGTAAGGGAGGGGGTGGGGCAGGGGGGAGAAATGAACCCAAGCCTTGTATGCACATATGAATAATAAAAGAAAAATGAAAAAAAAATGGGGATTAAAGAAATGATAGTGTTTTTCCTGGGTTTGCTTTTAAAGGCCAAGCAGGGGCTTGAAAATACAACAAGGAAACAAACATGTATCTCCTAAAGTTTTGATTTGCACATTTTCCAAACTCTTTGGTCAGTATTTAAGTAGAAATCATTCTTAGGCAATAATTGCTGTTAATATAGATAGATATGTATTATATACATATGCAATAATGTGTATAATTTCATGTATCATTTCATTAAAGGCATTCTGCAAGCCACCTTTCCTTTTAGATTATCTTAATTAATAAAGTTACTACTTGCATTCATTCTGCAGTGACTGCTCCTTGTATTAAAAAGTTGTGTTCAGTGCGTGTTATGCTGTGGCACTGTTCTGTTCCCTGCAATTAATAAAGATTGACCAAATTTCTAGTCTTGTAGAAGGTGTGTTCTGCCAGGACAGACAGTCCAGAATTCTAGTATTAACTACATGTGATAATGTCTTATGAAATGTTTTAAAATCAACAGAAACCCACAGATAAATGAATAGAAATATGTTTACGGGAATTCTCTTGCTATACCTTTGCTAACTTCACAAATACTCGTCATATATGGACCACATCATCAAATAATACACACCAGATAAAATAAATTGGGCAAAATAACAGCCAGCTGCCACTCACACTAACCTCATGTTTTTATATGTAGCATTACTCAATGCCTTGTTTTCTTACCTGTCTAGGGATAAATAACAATAAAGAAGGTTAAAAAAATCAGAACTCGTTAATATGTCACTATGACATTTGTCAATATGTCATTTTTAAACTTGTGAAAACATCAAGAAGTAAAACATTAATCTAATGTCCCTTGATCTAATGTCCACATATGAGGGAGAACATACGATTTTTGGTTTTTTGAACCAGGCTAACCTCACTCAGAATGATGTTCTCCAATTCCATCCATTTACCAGCGAATGATAACATTTCGTTCTTCTTCATGGCTGCATAAAATTCCATTGTGTATAGAACCACATTTTCTTAATCCATTCGTCGGTGGTGGGGCATCTTGGCTGTTTCCATAATTTGGCTATTGTGAATAGTGCCGCAATAAACATGGGTGTGCAGGTGCCTCTGGAGTAACAGTCTTTGGGTATATCCCCAAGAGGGTATTGCTGGATCAAATGGTAGATCAATTCTAGCTTTTTAAGTAGCCTCCAAATTTTTTTCCAGAGTGGTTGTACTAGTTACATTCCACCAACAGTGTAAGAGGGTTCCTTTTTCCCCGCATCCTCGCCAACACCTGTTGTTGGTGGTGTTGCTAATGATGGCTATTCTAACAGGGTGAGGTGGAATCTTAGTGGTTTTAATTTGCATTTCCTTTATTGCTAGAGATGGTGAGCATTTTTTCATGTGTTTTTTGGCCATTTGAATTTCTTCTTTTGAGAAAGTTCTGTTTAGTTCACTTGCCCATTTCTTTATTGGTTCATTAGTTTTGGGAGAATTTAGTTTTTTAAGTTCCCTATATATTCTGGTTATCAGTCCTTTGTCTGATGTATAGTTGGCAAATATTTTCTCCCACTCTGTGGGTGTTCTCTTCAGTTTAGAGACCATTTCTTTTGATGAACAGAAGCTTTTTAGTTTTATGAGTCCCATTTATCTATGCTATCTCTTAGTTGCTGTGCTGCTGGGGTTTCATTGAGAAAGTTCTTACCTATACCTACTAACTCCAGAGTATTTCCTACTCTTTCCTGTATCAACTTTAGAGTTTGGGTCTGATATTAAGATCCTTGATCCATTTTGAGTTAATCTTGGTATAGGGTGATATACATGGATCTAGTTTAAGTTTTTTGCAGACTGCTAACCAGTTTTCCCAGCAGTTTTTGTTGAAGAGGCTGCTATTTCTCCATCGTATACTTTTAGCTCCTTTGTCAAAGACAAGTTGGTTATAGTTGTGTGGCTTCATATCTGGGTCCTCTATTCTGTTCCACTGGTCTTCATGTCTGTTTTTGTGCCAGTACCATGCTGTTTTTTATTGTTATTGCTTTGTAATATAGTTTGAAGTCAGGTATTGTGATACCTCCTGCATTGTTCTTTTGACTGAGTGTTGCCTTGGCTATTCGTGGCCTCTTGTATTTCCATATAAATTTAACAGATTTTTCAATCTCTTTAATGAATGTCATTGGAATTTTGATGGGAATTGCATTAAACATGTAGATTACTTTTGGGAGTATACACATTTTTACTATGTTGATTCTACCAATCCATGAGCATGGGAGATCTCTCCACTTTCTATAGTCTTCCTCAATCTCTTTCTTCAGAAGTGTATAGTTTTCCTTGTAGACGTCTTTTACATCTTTTGTTAAGTTTACACCTAGGTATTTGAGTTTTTTGAGGCTATTGTAAATGGAATTGTTTTCATACATTCTTTTTCAGTTTCCTCATTGTTAGTGTATAGAAATGCTAATGATTTTTCTATGTTGATTTTATATCCTG